TAGCCGATTTAAACAAACTAGGGCTCGTTTAAAAGAGCTTTTCTTCCTTAATGATCTCCAGTATAAATTTTGTTTTTATATTTATTTTTGTGGTAGCTAGAGGGCGCTGTTTGACATTATAACAGATTTTGCGCTTTTGCATAAAAAAATTAAATAGGAGGCTATATTTCTGTTTGCACAATTAAATAGAGCACAAGATTTCCAAAAAATCAGCGCAAACCGCAACTTTCTCTCTTCTCTGTAACGGGAGATATTAAGAAAATAAATCATATTAGGCTGTCGCCTAGGATTATACGGTCTAAAAATTAGAGTGGTAGGCTAGGAAACAAAAAGAGGTAAATTAGTTTACATCAATATATCAAAACATACATTTTAGTTTCATTTTAATATCATTTAATTGTTATTTATCCATGTTCGTTCTTGATTCGACACCATAAATTAAAACCCAGGCATATTGAATCCAATAACCTAGCTGGCCATGGAAAATATCCGCTTCAGCGACTCTATCTACTAAAGTAAGTGGTACCCAAGAAGCCCCACACATTCATAGCAAAATAAGCGGCACAACTGCACCATCTGCATCAACTACACCAACTACACTCATGCTGATGAAATTGCAACAAATGCAATTTCATCATGATGGATCCCCTAACAAAATTGGCAATTCGTCTCTTAGAAATTTTGGATAGTTTATTATTTCATTCAGATAATTAAAAAAGTCCAATCATTCGCCATCCTAGAATTCCTGCCTAAACATTTACCGACCAACGGTCTTGGTGCTGAACTACTTGCATGAAGGGTAGACTTGGACCAGTAGTGCATATTGAAAAGTGACCCAAACGACATAAACCTTAATATAATAATAAATAACACAAACAACAGGTAAAACACGAAAACAAGTGAAATCAAGGACGAACTTGGATAAATAACTAAATGACATTACATGAAATAAACCCCATACGAAATTCGGCCGTTTTCTGTTAAAAGCAATATGGCGGCACAAAATTTCTAGAAATTTTAATAAAATTATTGATTGTCCGACTTTTGGACATTTTCATCTGAGAACTAGCTACGTATAATTAACCAACAAATTCGTAAAAATTGTATTGATGGACGATAATGTTACATAAACACGTTTAAAAACTTATGACGTCATTTTTTTTTAAGAAAACGACCTAAATTCGTATGCATGAAAACTGAACTTAATCGTTTTGATATTTTGACGTAATCAAGTCACCTGTTTTTGTTTCCTAGCCTACTACTATAATTCGGCAGCCTAATAACGGCAGCCTAAGATGATTTGTTCTCTTAATATCTCCGATTTTTTGGAAATTTTGTGCTCTATTTAACTATGTAAAGAGAAATATAGCCTCCTATTTATTTTTTTCTGCAAAAGCGCAATATCTGTTATGGTGTCAAACAGCGCCCTCTAGCTACCACGAAAACATTTATGGAAACAAAATTTATACCGGAGATGATTAAGGAAGAAAAGCTCTTTTAAACGAGCCCCAGTTTGTTTAAATCGGCTAACCTAAACCAGAGTTATCCTTATTTTAATAAAATCAAGTTTAACCTTCCCCCACCACTTTATTTTATGAGATAGAGCAATACTCTATATCAAAAAAATTACGAATTTCTCGGCGATTACAATAGTAATATTTAAAATACCTGTTTATCTGCATATTTTTGAGAAAAACTCTGTTTTCTTATTGGCCATCAGAGAAACGCCCTCTAGCGGATATTTTTCGAACTTGAAAATAATTCCCAGCGATTTCTCTTGTTCGATTTACTTATTAGAATTTTTTCCCCAAAGTTATACGATAAGTAGTTTCCGAGATACAGCCGGCGTCCATTCTTAGTTGGCCACCCGGTACTGTGCGTCTGTCCGTTCTGTAGCTACGGGGTATCCGTGAGAGGGGAAACGATATTCTCTCGATGTTTTTCGTAAAAAAATAGACGACGCCCCCATCAATAAAAATTCAACAAATTTGCAAGTAGCCAATAAAATGAGTGGGCGGAGCGATTTGCGGTGACGCACTCGTCAAATCGACGTATAAAATATGTTGCTGTTTATTTAAATGTTTTTTGTCCGCATTCCTTTCATAGACACAGATCCAGATGTACTGTACATGAGTCGTCAGAATGCGCTTTTATATAAACATTACTTTATATGTCGTATTAATAATTTTAATATTATTAATACTAATTTAATTATGATTACCGAGATGAGTGATATATTTATAAAATACCATAAAAATAAGCAATATATTTTTAATAGTTTTTGAATATTTTTTATTCATTTCAATTATCAGTAAAAAAATAACTTGAATCTATCAAAAACAAACAACTATTGTTAGCATTTTTTTCTTTGTAAAAATTCAATAACGTTTCTTTTCAGTGTGGTCCAAAGAAAATAAAACATTTTAACTATCAACAACTTTTATCCCCGATACTTTTCGATATTTTTTAATCTAACTTCACTTTTATGTTTAAATAACAATTTCAAAATGTGTGACCACATCATTTATCACATGGGCACTGCAAATAAAGGGATTTGTTATTTTTTATTCTAATTTTATTGTTATTAATAAAATTGTTTATCTCATCAAGGAGATCGAAATCGGCAAAATATCAAGTAACTTTTAATCGGCATTAAAGGAACCACACCATTTTGCTAGCAAGAAAAAAATGTCAGTGGCGCCCATGTTTTTTTTAGAAAAATATTCCAGTGATAATCCATGTAGTTTGGACATACAACGCGCAAGCGCAGGTAAACTTTCGCTAGCGTTTTGGTCAGTTAGGCTGGGCGTTGTTTAATATATATATTTATGATAGTTGAAGAGTGGAAATACCAAAGGGGGTAACTGCCAAATTTTTCAGTATTAAGTTGTTGCATTAAAAACGTAATAAATACCATGCTGCATGTCCTAACAAAAGTTACATGTGCCAACCGAAAATATCTATTTTTTATGCATATATACATATGTATTTTAAAAGATATTTTAAAAATTTATTATTTTCAGTTCTGCTGTGTTTTTCTCATTTATCTCGAAAAAATAATTTTGGCACTTACTAGTAGTGGGAACTATTGAATGAATACTATCGAAACATTCGATAGTTGCAATTCATTCGAATAATTCGATAGTTAGTAAGAAAACATTCGTTGAAAACTATTCGAATAAAAATTATCGAATAGATCCGTCATCTGCCTTGAAATGTTTATTTCTAGTAATTCGGCAGCAAAAACCATTCATTTATAAAATTCATTCATTTATGAAATTCATTTATTCGTCAGGATCGATTATAATAAAATATCAACTGAATTTCAGTTGTCGCCCGGCGACGCGACGTAGGTTTCTTTCCGAGGAACCCGACAGCGGTCGGTGGCAATGCTATGAAAGAAGCCGGCATCTTTGATTTTTTGCGGAGTCAGATATAGATAAGGACACATTATTTTTTTTATTGAGGTGCTAGTATTTACACAGAAAATACATTATGAAGGGCGCTGTTGCCATATTTTGGTATTAGTTGATATTAGCAAAGAATATTATTGTTTGGCTTTAGTTAGTTAGGGATAGTATGTCTATAATATATTCTGCATTTTTTTTATTAAATATTATTGTTTGGCTTTAGTTAGTTAGGGATAGTATGTCTATATATTCTGCATTTTTTATTATTAATATTCTGTCGTTACACTGCAATAATACTTATTATTTTGGATGTAGGAAAATTATTTTTAATGTTTTTAAGCAAAGACTGGTTTAATAAATAACAATAACAGTAATAATTTGTTATACCTATTAACAACAAAATTTAAAATCATTTAATATAAATATTTTTTTAAGTAGTATCAAAATATAAACAACAAATTAGACGTCAAAATTATTTATATTAGATTCTATTTAAAAATAATATAGTCTCTAAATTTTTTGTGTGTGGCAACGTTGGTTTATTAAATATATTATTATAATTCTGTAATTATTATATAATAATAATTACAGAACTAATTTGTTATATTAACAACAAATTTTTGAAATCATGAAATATAAACATTTATTAATTTTCTAAGCATGCAGTGTAATGGAAGGAAAATATAAATAAAAAATTAGAAATCAAAATTATTTATATTAGGTGCTTTATATTACTATTTAAAAATTATATTTACTTTTACTGGCATTTATTTTAAAAAATAAATGAAATATTTCTTCGCAAAAACTACATGTAAGAGAATTAGCATAAACAAAATACAAACATCGTTAACTTTTTTTTTAAATTGGCACGTGTAAAACTTTCATTTTAATTTTCTCACCCCATAGTTTGAGTTCGATAACCATTTACTTAACCACATTACTTTAATATGATTATTAAGTTCAACTAATTCATATTATTAAAACATCTAAAATACAAATATGTACTTTTAAAATTAATTTAAGTTCATCTCATCTCTCTTAAAAATTGCTACTTCTCAAAATTTCCCATTAAAAAATAGACCATATACCATATAAAATTAAATAATTGAAAGATCGGACTACGGAAAACCACACAAATTTTCGGAAAAATTATGACCCCCTGCACATGCACACAATCGTCAATAAATAAAATTAAAAAATAACTACTATTTTTTATACGGCGAAGTTATAAAAATTTGGAAGAACTAATAATGCACTGACGCATACAAAAATCAAACGAATACTAAATTTCATTTATCAAAAGCATTCAATAGTCTTGGCTCAACGATAACCATTTAGTCGCACGGCGAGGTTGTCACATATGCTTTAGTATACAAATGAATGAATGATTTTATTCGAATAAAACCATTCGATAGTTGAAATCATTCATTCATTAACCATTCGATAGTCTAATTCATTCGATAGTTCCCATCGCTAGCACTTACCCCCTTTCGTATTTCCACTCTTCAATTTTATACTCAAACCTTTCCTTGATTTATGATTCAAAAAAATTATTTAAGATATTTAAGATATTAAAAATAAAATGACATAGTAATAATTCACTTTAATATTAAATTAGACTAAAATTTGATGAATGCATATTAATAAAATATATAAATACAAAAATTAACCATTAAAACAAATCTACATTACAATTAAATATAATTATACAGAATAACTTACAACTTTAATATAACAAAGTAATTATTTTTTGTTATTTAGATAACAAACCACAAAATACAGTAAAATACATATTGAGTTTAATAATTTCTTTAGAAAATAAAATTAAACAAAAATACACCATGATGTTTGCAATACATACAATATGTCCATCTCATTATTCACAATACGTAATTACTTATTTATTTGCTAGCTTAATAAACTTCGAATTTCTTTATGCATATGACAGAGAAAGTCGACATAACTTGCAGATCCGTCATTACCTCTATCTTCCACCAAAAAGTGCTTGAATACGTGTTCTAACTTTTCTTTTTGTCTCACAATGGTTAACTGTAAAAATTAAAAATAATTAGTTTATTAATTTAGCTAACTAAAACATTTATTTAATTATATACACAGAATTTATTTTTTTACTTTTTGGTTTTCTTTCTGACATTTTAAGTCTAGTGTTCAAATTTCGCATGTGAAAAAAAAAATAGCGTCATGCATCCAAATATTACCAACGAATTTCTTGGTTAATTTTATGTAGCGGATAATCCTTAAACATTTAATTTTTTTACGAATTTGATGACGCCATAATTGTCGCAGAAAACGTACGAAAATAGAATACATGATAACTAGGCTTTAAACTAGAGATGTATCGAATACCAGATTTGCTGAATAGCCGAATACCTACCTAATATTCAGTAGATCTATTTTTATTACAGTTTGGGGTTGGACGGGTTTTAGGGTTCCATGATCTATTGTACCGACTAGCGTTTTTTGCTTTTTTGCGTGTGAAGCGTTTTTGCGATTTTACCGTTTGAAGCTTTTATTTCGATTTGTGTCTCAATTAAAAAACTCGCAAAAGGAGCGGCAGTCTCCAGTTTATATCAAGCTGTCGATTAGTAACGAAAAAGCTCTTGGATTTCCCGGCCGGTTCAACAATCAACCCTTTGAGCAAGAGATAGGCGAGATCGGCGCAGTTAGCGTTGAAAAGACGAAGATGAAAAATAAGCTCGGATCGATCGTTGAACGGGCTGGATATTCGACGGCAACCGCAATCTACTGCTAGCGCCAGTGGTGTGTGTAAAAATAATTATTATTATTTGCCATTTATTTTAGGAATTTTAGTTTATTTTTGTATAGATTTTTTGTGTTGTAGTTTTGTGGTTACTTGCGTGTTATAATTATACTATTATAATATAATAAATAATTATAATTATATAATAGACTAGTAAATATTAGTTAATTGCTAACACAATTTTAGGACATGATTTATCAAACTTTTTGAATAGAAACTTTGTTACGCGCGCTGGGAGTAAAAATTCCTAGCAGTGACATACGAGCTAGCAAGACTGCCCTGACACACGAACTAGTGGTAACGAAAAGTGATAACGGCTTAGAAATACGTGGTGACGCGACGTGTATTTGTTAGCAGTCCAAGTGTTTATCAAAAATATTGATATTTTAATACAAATTTTGTAAAAGAGAATCAAACTATTACGTGTAAAAATCCTTTTGTTACACGTAAAAAAATAATATTTTTTACGCAAATAAAACTGTTACACGTAAAAAACTATTTTTTACGCGTATAAAACTATTTGTTACCCGTAAAAAACTATTTTTAAGCGTATAAAACTATTTGTTACTCGTAAAAAAAACACTTTTTAACGTAAAAAACACCACTTTTTAACGTAAAAACTATTTTTTACATGTACAAAACTATTTGTTACAGGTAAAAATCTATTTTTTACGCGTATAAAACTATTTGTTACGCGTAAAAACACTTTTTACGCAAAAAAACTATTTTTTACGTGCAAAAGACTATTTGTTATGCGTAAAAAACTATTTGTTACTCAAAAAAGCAAAAGAAATTATTTTTTACGTGTAAAAAATTATTTGTTACACGTAAAAACTATTTTTTACGAGTATAAAACTATTTGTTACTCGTAAAAAAACACTAGGCAAAAGAAACTTATTTCTTACGTGCAAATAAATATTTGTTACACGTAAAGAAACAATTTTTTACGTGTAAAAAACTATTTGTTACACGTAAAAAAACTAATTTTTAATGGTATAAAACTATTTGTTACTCTTAAAAAAAAACACTAAGCAACAATTTTTTACGTGTAAAAAACAATTTGTTACACGTAAAAAGCTATTTTTTACGCGTATAAAACTATTTGTTACGCGTAAAAAACTATTTGTTACTCGAAAAAAGCACTTAAGCAAAAGAAATTATTTTTTACGTGTAAAAAATTATATCTGTTAAAATTTATCCAATATGCTACATTAGTTTTATTAGTATTTATTTACGCGTTTATTACTGTTAAAGCCCTGAGACTGTATGATGAGTTATAACTCGTTATAACTTAAGAGAGGGGAACAAACAGTAGATCTATAAGGTCGCGGTGATTAACTCCCCTCCTAAACATTCTACATTAACTTCATTATTTAAAGTAAAACAATATCGTCCCATTGCTGCCAAAAGTCACTAACTTACTTTTTATTACTTCCGAGAAAAATGCGTCTAAAGATGAATTGCATTGCATAAAGATGTTATAGTTAGTAACTATTCGGTGTTAAAATAAAACATAAATAGCCAGAAATCGTAGTTAATGACTTTTGCAATCGATTCTCCGCTTCAAAACATAGTTAGTGATTGAATTTGGTTGTTCGGAAAAATGTTAGTTAGTGACTTTTGGCAGCAATGGGACGATATAATACATATACGGAACTTCAAAAAATGCATCGTTTGGTTTTCCGCCATGATTAATCTGAATTCTACATAATATGTGAGAGACGTACGTAAAACAGACAACGGAAAAATTTAACAATAAAAGCCTAAAGGATAATAGTAATTGAAAAAAATTGGAAATCCTTATTAAAAGATTATTTATACGACAAATAAATGTTTGGTTTTGCTTGGCCTACCGCAAAATTTTAGATATGCAATAGGAAAAATGGGATTTTTGTCGTTTATTATAATAGTGTTACGGATTCCGTGGGTCCACTAATTTAAACTCACGATAAAATACTTAACGATTTTATTTGCCTCACTCTGTACACACAACTTATACTATTTACAACACAATTTATGCAACTACTATTACTCTAACGGTACTGGCACCTTCGCCAATTAATTCACAATTTAAAACGCGGTATTATCAAACTTCCAACTGCTAACTGCCAAAGCGCGGGCCTTTATATACCCCCTGGCGAGTGTTTCTGGAACGTTCTAAAGAATTCTGTAATTTTCTTTTACTTTCTGGCGAATTCGCCTGGTTACTCAATGCACTTTGCGGTTATGTAGCAGTAATGCAGTTATGCAACCAGTAATACAGTTTAGTGCTACATACACCTTGACATTGCCCCCTTCTCAAATTTGATCGTCCTGATCAAGGTTTCCTGTCCGGTATCTCTTCAATCGATCCAGATGTACTACTTTCATCTTACTTCTAGGGCTGTGTTGAATCCGGTACACAACATCATTTATCTTCTTGATGACTGTATAAGGACCTTCCCATGCTGGAGTTAACTTTGGGGACCTTCCTTTCTTGCGCTGTGGGTTATACAACCATACCCTATCGTCCTGTTGAAATCCCGTAGAATTACCTCTGAGGTCGTAACGAGCTTTCATCCGGTCACTGGCTAGCGCAATCTTACTTCTAACGGCCTTATGAACGTCCAGTAATCTTTCCTTCCTAACGATTCTTTCGAACAACAGTCCAACGTTATCTTGTTCCATTTTTCCTCCAGATCGAGTACTTGGTCCTTGTCTAGCTGAGCAAATCTTACAACGTTGACACTATTTCTTAACATCTTCGCAATAACCAGTGAATTCCACTGAGCCCAGAGAGCTTTGAAAATCAGCCCTCTGTACGCAATATCCTGCCACGATGGTCTCTCGCCGTTACCCTCCTTGAGCCGTAGTATTGCTCCGATGTCTGGATCTTCCATTTGACGTTTCCTCAATTGTATCGTCGTCCATTGTTCGCCAGTTCTCAGTTTAAAATTCCTTACTCTAATAGTGCTTTCGCGATGTTTCATTTTCTTGTCCAGGTCGTCGTCGATCTGGCTCGTTGTCGATAATTTGTACCCGTCCTACACGGCACACAGAGGTTTTCTCTATTTTTCCGAACACAGTCTTCTTGGTATCACCAGGTATCATCACAATTTCCGATGATCTTGCTTCCATATTTCCTGGTCTCTTCTCTTTAGATACAGCAAATTCCTCATTTCCGATTTTGAGGATGTTTCTATGGTGATCGAAAGAAAAACCATGTTGACTGATCACATCCATACCCATGATAAAATCATCTTCAATGTCTGCCACTAAAACGCTATGCCGAAACTTTAAATTCCCTAACTCCAGTTCCATGAAAGCCTCTCCCCGTATAACGGCCATTTCCTCCGTAACTGTACGTAAATACACTCTTCTTCTAAGAGGCATCATCTTCAATCCTTGCACTGAGTTAGTCCGCACCATAGACTTAAAATAAAATATAGACTGAGCATCTCATTCATAAATAGCTTGAACATGCGGTCAGACAATATCTTGTAATTGTTGTGTTATTCTTTCAGGTTATAACGAGTGCGACACGAGCGATAGATAGGTTGTCTCTGTCGTAACGGTCGTTCCCTGACGACCCTGCCGAGAAACACAACACTGTCTTTCGTTTCTCAAGTACACCTGAACTCTCCGTATCATAGATGGGTAATTTTTTTATTTTAATGAAGCTATAATTAAATTAAAAATATATCGTATTATTAAACTTTTTTATATTTTATTAAGATTTAGGACAGGTTTTTTAAATAAAAGTTTAGAAAAAAACATCTTAGAGTCTAAAAAGGATAAAAATAATAAAATACCCGTTATAGAAGAAATTTTATAATCGAAATTACGTAATTTTTGAAATTAATAATAAATTATTAATTTTAGTCAAACATTTACGAGCCCTAATATTAATCAAAATAGGATCTATTCCACAGATATAATAGAATCGGCGACAGGGAGAGAAAAAAAAAACGATTGTTGTATTTTTTTTTCTGGTTAAGTGATGTCTTATTATGTAAATTAGAGAAAACATAAATCTGTTCCATTAAAGCAAGGTGATAGGAAGTGGATAAAATGAAAACTACATTTATTTAACTCGGTACTGTCTTTATTATACCGGGTGCGTCTCAAAAGTGGCTCATCCCCATAATTTTTTTATATTTTCAAATAAAAAAACAAGATTTAGTATGTTAGTATATGACATAAATTAGGATTGATTGACGCATTCAATTGTTTTTGGTCACTTCCTGTTTCACCGGAAATGACTATAACTTTTAATTTTTAAACGGCA